ATTGGCACAGGACAGAGCGGAGTTTAGGGCTGTTGTACATAGGGTCGCTATGGTTTGCAGGCGACTCGACGGCACATAACAACAACAACAACAACAACACCTTGACATATAGGAAAATTATGAGACTGAGAGCCAAGAGCTAACCAAAGAAGCAAGAGAGAAATAGAGAAAACAGAGAGAGGAAGATAAAGAGATAAAATTATTTATGAATGCTATGAAGGTACCACATAAAGGGTCTCACTCTCATAAGGGCCCTCTGGCCAAACCTGGAATTTAATAAAAAGTGGGAGACACATGAATCCAAGTTCTAAAATAAACTCTAATAAAGAGTCTTTTAAATGTTACTTTTGTTGGAATTATGAAGATTAATATGTTTTGGAATATTACTGAATATTTTATGGAGAAAATGAAATTTGTGCTTAACCTTGAAAATGAAATAAAATTACAGGCAATGAAGAGGGTAGGAAATTCTAGATTAAAGTAACAGATACTAGGAAAGTGCAACAAGTATATTGGGATAAGCAATTCTTAAGGGTTTAGGGTAAGGGGACAATTGTTGTTAAGTGCCATCTAGTCATAGATGACTCATATCAACCCTATGAACAAAAGACATGATCACTTGCATAACTTACATCGTTTCTCCAAGGGGATAATTAGAGAAGGAATATTTTTGCTGATAAATATTCTGGCCTTAACTTGTCCTACTTTCTCAGTCTCATTGACTGTGCCTTTGATCACATTCCAACTACTGGAGTCTTTAAACAGATAGTATCCCCTCTGGCCCTTAACTATGATGTTGTCTTTAATGCTTGCCTTTGCTCATACTATTGTTGTTGTTGCTATGTACTGTCAAGTCAACTATGACTCACACAAATCCTATGAAAAACAGCTGTGAAACTTGGCCTATCTCAAGCCCAAGTCACCATCTCTGATACTCCAGACCCCATTGCCACATTCACTGCATCAGTACATCTCATTTTAGTCCCTTCATCCCTCCATGTGCTGTCCCTCCACCCTTGCAAGCATGATGTCCTTTTCTAAGGACTGGTTCCTCCTGGCAACATACACAAAATATGTGATATGAAATTTGAAAATCTTTACCACCAAGGAACAATGTGGTCTCAATCTCTCTATGACAGACATGTTGCCATATCTCTTAGAAGTCTTTGGTATGCTCAATACTCTTCTCCAGCACCACATCTCAAAGGCATCTGTTCTTCTTTTGTCATCTTTATTCATTGTCTAGCTGTCAGATGCATAGCAATTAATTGAGAAGACTTTTGCTTGGAATCAGGCTTTTAGCTTTTAGACAGATACTGCTGCTCTTTAGCACTCTGGAGAGATTCCTGATAGCAGATTTTTCCAATTCAACTCATCTTTTAATTTCCTGACTGCTGGTGCCAAGGGTGTGGATTGTGGAACCAAACAAGATGGAATCATTTACAACTTCAGTCTTTCCTCCATCTCCCATGACGTTGCCCTTTGACCTAGGTGAAGACTTTTGTGTTCTTGATATTGAAGGCTGCAGTCCTTGATCTTCTGCAGCAAGTGCCAATTCATCATACATTTGCATATTACCATGTACTTCTCCTTTTTGGTATCTGACATTCATAATGCAGTTTTAAATTATGTGATTTTTCATTAATGTCTGTCTGTCACTAGACAAACAATTACAAGAAATAGAAATGGTAGTTAGTAATGACCATAGTACAGTGCCTAATACATAGTAGGTTTTTGATAAATATTTGTTTAATAATG